AACTGCAAATGCGATACAAAGGAAAAACTTTGACCTGACCTTGCTGTTCCCATTGATCCCTTCGTCTGGCTCTATAGTTGATTCGTAGCTGATTCGGATTCTCCGGGCGCATGGCAAATTATAATCGTCGGCCAATTTGACAAGCCTATCAATTGAATTCCGTTTGGGATTCGGATGCTGTCCAAAAGTATATCTCAATTATTATGAGATGGGGAATTAGGGTGGCGGGGGGCAAGTGCCCTGCAAATTATGTTTATTGTTATGTTTAGTGTGCGATTTCTGCTCTCCACCAAAACAGATGATAATGTTATGAATAGAAATATGTTGATTGTCAGCTAATTGGATGGTAAGACCCATGGGACTAGGTATCGTTATATGAAAGGAAAACCCTTAGCAAATTTACAGTCATTATATTCCTCATGCTCTCCATTTACTGTCTTCCTTAAAGAAAAAGTTTCTTTTGAAAAGCTGTAAAAAATATATAAAAACAAATTAAAACTAATATAAAATAAAATATTTAGAAAGTTTTTGTGTAAAGATTTTTAAGGAAGATTACGTTTTTTATCACAAGCTGAACCAATATATTTCTTTAAACAACTTTATTGCTACTTGTGGCCATAGAACATTAAAGGACTTGAGACATTTTCTGAAGAAACTTCTGGGTAATTTTCTCTTGCAGGACTCACTCTCTTTGCTTCAGGACTCTCTTAAATACTGGTGTATCACAAAGTCGGGAAATTTGTTTCCTTAGTTCATTGGCAGTTTTCTTTTTCCCTCCACAACTCGCATTTGATATTTATGAATGGAACCGCACTTACGGCTTGTCTGAATGCCTCAACATTTCCGATTAAATGGAGATTGTTTTATTATTAATGTCATGTGGCACTTAATCATTATATAAGTGAAAAGTAATAGGAAAAGCTTTTAGTTAATCGTTTATTCTAGAAGAAACTGTTAGGTAAGCCTTTATCCATCGCTTAAATTTACATGGAATTTAATGATGTAGAATGCCGAGTGCCTTGAAATTAAAGACAATATTAATTTAAATTTATACTAAGTTCACAATTAATTTCGGTTGTTCTTTTAGATTTCTTTGGGACTTGTATTTACCTTTAAAAGTTTCGATTGAAAACACAAATAAAATAAAGCTGAGTTAACAAAGGAATTTTCTTGGAAATTGTACTCTTATTTGGCTTCTTGGATTGCCAAGACAATGTCGCTAAGTTGCTGCCTTAAATGATTTTCATGCCTCATTTTTATGGCTTTTACAGTTGCAGCTGGCTCGGAGGTAGTAAATTATGACAGCGTATAGGAATTTCGCCCCCGCTGCCTATTTTTGGGCGACACAAGTGGTAAGAACCCTTTGTTATCGTCCCTGGACAACATGGCGTATGCGCAATTACGTATACGACATGTAGGCGCTGACATTAAACACTGACCGCTGTCTAGTCGTTTGGTCCTCATATTATTTGTCAACTGCCTGGACCAGGCCTATTCCAGCACACTCATTGTTAAGCCCACTTTGAGGGAGGGCCATAAAAATTCCACAATGTTGATTTTAATATATCCTTAATGGATGGTCATAAAAAAGAGTTGATGTCCAAGGGGAATAGTGTAGGCAAGAATTATAGACTTTGGGATGCTCTATTAATGAAAAGATATGGACAGGGGAAGAATAAGTAACTCTATGACATGACTTTGTATTCCATCATCTCCATTGCCTTCTTCATCACAAGTCTGCTATACCTCATTTTCATGACCATTAAGTGTTCTCCTCGAAATTTATTGAATCCAAATGGTCGCGTTAATTGAATGAGCTGGATTTCTGAGGGACTGACTCATGCCATGGCTTTCTCATCATTCCGACAAACAGCAACTTTGGCTTTTGAAATTAAGCAAAGATTCATTATTTATCCCCTTGAAAATATTCATAAATGCATTGAGGCTGAATCCCCCTGATGGGTAGGCGAAAGTCATTTCAAAAGTTTGCCAATAATAAAGCCAGTGCAAATAAATTGGTCAAGGTGAGGCGAACGGCAGCAGGTGGATGGAGGGCACAGCCCACCCACGCAATATTAAAGCTCGCTCAGATAAGAAGTTGCTTGAAAGCTAACAAGAGGAAACATTGAAACTTTCCCTATAGTCTACATATATATCTTATATATTAACAAAGTTGACTTGTTCAGTTTTGAACAAATATGTATATTTCCCCGAAAAGGGGGAAAGCCAGCAGGAAGCTGGAAATGAGTTATGTGCCTGGCATGCAAAGGCACATAACAGTCTGACCAAAACTTTTACCCGAATCGAATTTCGGGTCGGATTCGGAGTCGGGGTCGGAGTCGGGGGCCTTCCGGGAAGTGTAAACATGTTCGCAGGTGTTGAAAACTAAGCCAAGTTTGTGTGCCAAGTTTTCAGCGGTAGGCAAATGGTTGGCCAATTTAATTAGTTTTTTTTTCCAGCGCCATAAACAGTTTCCAATTTATTTAAGCGAATCTTTGGCAAAATCGGAGCGAACCGCAGACACTGGTCGGAAAATGAATCAGGGGAAAATGTAATCAAGCAGATGGCTACCTTCCCCGCTCTCACCCTCTCCCTGTGTGGCTTTTGGTCAGCCGCAGCTGGAAAATTAAAGCGATTTTCATACGTTTTTACCTTCGTCGATCGGGCTGCAAAAGTTTGCGGTTTTGCGGTTTCCGTTCGGGTTCTTTTCCCATTTTCTGTTAACTCTTTTTTTTGGTGGCTGTGTGTTTTGTTTCCTACTTATAGAAATTTAATTTCTCTGTTTTATTGCTCGCCAAAGCCAAAAAGCAAACAATGTGTATGGGTAATATTTGCCACACGCCCCCTGAGGAACTTGTCATATTGTTATGGGACTCATCCAAAATATTTTCTTTGACCTGTGTAAACTTTCGGGTCGGGCATTGTTGAGGTCGTTGGGGGCAGGGGCACACTCCTGCCAAAAGGTCAGTTGGCAGCTATAAGGCTTCGTGCCTAAAAGTTAGGCAATAAAATTCTGTGAGGGGGAGGCGGAAATGGTGGTATTTGGAAGCATTCTTAGGTATAGAATGGTGAAAGCAGGAAAACCCTTTCCTTTCAGGCTAGACAGAGCTTCCACTGGTTAAGGTATTGGATTTTGTTTAATAATTGAGGATTTGGTGGGCTAGTGCTGGGGTTTGGTGAGGTTTGGTTGTGGTTGTCGCAAGTCAGGTTCTTTCTTGGTTATTTTTGGTTGGTTGTGGTACAGTAAGAGATGTGAGTTCGGTTTGTCTGAGGTCTGGTGTGGCAGAATGAAGTTTGAATGCTTAAGGTCCAGTTATTATACGCTTGTGGTTAGGTTTAGGACCTTAAAATAAAGCTAATCGTAAAGATTCTGGCCAAAGCTTAACATTGAGCTTACTCACACTGCTATAAAATTTTCTTGCTATAAATTTGACCAGCTAAAAGCTTATTTTAGAAAGCTGCTAAAGTTTGTTTTGAAATTTTCACTGGTTCGTGTCCAACTTTCGTGTTTCAGCTATCAAGCTCTTCTAAAAGCTGTCCAGGATATGCGTAGGATATACGTTTTAATTCAAATAGCACTAACAAGAGATATTATTTGTACATTTTATATTGAAGAGACCACTAACCCAAGCAGACTTTATTCTTCTCTTTAACGAATCTTTGCTTCTTTCCGCTTGATGTATTGCCCCTTGTCAAGAAAATTTGTGAATCTCTTTTATGCTTTTCAAATTCTGTAAAATACTTTTATTTACATTTTCTTGCTATAATACTCTTCTGAACAACAGAATTTAAAGCCCCAGTCAAAAGTTAACAAGATAATTGGATAACATACACAAGACCTGAAATCTGATTGCCCTGTCTCCTATATTTATCACATTCCTTGTCCATCCTCTCATGCAAAGACTGAAGTGTGTGCTAAGCTGCTCAAGTAATTAAAATGCTTTCATTATTAATGACTAAATGGGCCAAATAATCTTAAGGGGCATATTTTTAGTCAACGATTTTGACTGGCTGAAATAAATGGCCCAGTCACAAAAGGAACATGAATAAATATGTACATACGCACACATAATTAAATTCCCATTAAATGCAAAGAATCGACGAAGGCACCCGCCACAAAATAAGTAGAATATAATGGCATTCACGATGCGAACAAAGCCCCGGAAAACCACCGACAATGCGAATCAAATTATCAACATAATGGCAGCCCCAGCAGCTCAAGAGCGAAAACCAAACGAGAAGGAAGGAAGACGTCTGTATAGCTTTATACCTATACATGTACATATATACATATAAGTACGGCCTCTTCATTCATAAATTGGCTTGTGGCTGGAGAGAGTGAGTACTGGGTGGCACGTGTGCTTAGAAAGCTTTAAGTGGGCTAATTGTTGGGGTGTCAGCCACTTATAAGCCATACAGAGGAGTTTTAAGAAGGTTTTACTGCCTGAATTGCTCAGGAATTTAAAGTTTTTGCAACAATGATATCTACTTAAGGCGATTAATTTCTTTCACAAGTCTGTCTTTCATTAACTTGTCTATTTTAAGCTCTATTGGCCAACCACAAAAGACATTGGCGAGAGGACACTGGGCCTAGGCTGGCTTAAGCCATTGATATATATTTTGGGCCCAAAAACTCCATTGAGTGTGACCTTGGCTATGTCAACAACAGTCAAAATCGTAAATGCAATCAATTACTTAATAATCCCCTAAGAAAACTTTGCATAAACAAAATTTCAGAGCCAAAGTATAACAACAACAACGAGAATACTAATGGTTAGGCCGCCCGGCAATAACAAAAGTCAGCTGTTCCGTGCCTTTGCCGCTCTCTCTCTGAAAGCTCTCTGAGAAGGGAAGAGCAAAGCTTTCGTTACGACCAAGTGGGGCAGGGGGTCACGTATGCGTTACGTTTCACTTTCGTTGCCGACACAGACGAAGTAATGTTGGCTCTGTCTCCGGCTTTGAAGGCTGCTGCGACCCAATCAGACTCGTTTCGATTTCAGTTTCAGTTCCCGTGCAAATCCCGAAGCGTTTGGTTGTGTCTCCGCACAGCACAACACATCACATCCTTTGCACTCGCCTCCTGCGAAAGTCGCGCGCGTATTTCGGACTTTTGTGCTGGCCCGGAAAGTAGGCAACACGGATTGTGCTGTCCCGGAAAACGTGGGATATGTGAACTGTGTGTTTCCCCTCAAAACGCGAGCGAATGGTGCAAGAAGTCTACATTACAAACTGCTGCTGCCCCAAGTGTGTGGTGTGTCCTTAAAGCTTTAACATTGCTCGAAACGTAGGATTTTTATGAATGAACCGCTTAGGCGGCAAGCGGTACTGGAGGCATCAGCTCTTGGTAATTGTGTGCTCTGATGTGAGTGTGTGCTTGTGTTGGGTGGGGGGGATATGGTCGGAAAGTCATGGCGTTCCAAGCATATCAATAGCTTCAGTCGGACGGGATGTGTGTTAATGAGCCTCGGTTGATGCTACTGGTGCTGCGGCGGCTGTTGCTGACTTGGTCTTGGCCAATGAAATGCCAACAATGTTGGCCACAATTTGAGGGCAAACTCACTTGATGAGCGTTTAAACAGAGGGAATCATGAATGATGGATACATATTGAAAGTATTTGTATGTATTTTTAACAGGATCCCTATTAGAACACAACATTTTCAGAGGAAGCTTTTTGGAGGAACGGCTCACCAACAGTTCTAGGGATATAAAAGGCAGCTGTCGTATTCATTGCTTGATAACTTTCCTTATATGGATATTACAAGCACATGTTGCGCAGCATATCCTTCACTTTTCGACCTCTGTTGCAAATGCAACATCTCCAGGACTCACTTTTATACGATCCAGGAAGTACTGGGGCTATTGAAAGTTGATCCCTCTTTATATCCCACACAAACCCTAAAGGATTTTAAAATATTTTCTGATGTATCTCACGTGACAGGCATTTTTGAAGCAGCTTAAAAGTGAGCCACAAGATTAAAGGACCTCTCCTTTGCCATTGCCTTCAGTCTAAAAGTAGAACATTTATTTGTAAAATGTCTCCTTTGCCAGGGAGTGTCGGTGCTCCGGCTGTTGGCCCGGCTAATACGTGATCAGATCACACAACACACCGCAACAACAGAAAGGGCATACCTATCCCTGTCCCCTTCAAATGGCCGTCGCCATGGCTGCTATTAAAGATGACACACGCCAGCCGGCTGACGCCTGCTTACATTACGACGTACTCGTAAGGCATTCCGATTCCAATTCCGCCATCGCCATACATAGCCGGGGCCGCCACCCGTATCACTCATACGCACTGAGCTTAATTGCCGAATATTTCTGAGACGTTTCGGCAATTCCTCCACGAAAATCTTAGCCCCAAAAACCCAAAAGCCGTTTACATTTTTCAGTGAAATTTGTGCTGAGGCGCTGAGGCTGAAGGATATATGAGACTCGAAGAGAGAGCGTGTCCTGTCTACAATTACCAAACGCTTTTGCTGGAAATACCATTTGATACACGAAGAAAGTCAAGCGGTTGAAGCGTTTTAATTGCCTTCAACAGAAAGGATTTCCTGCTGCTGTCCGAAAGTGCGTGCGAGTCCGAGTCCGCCTTCCATTTCTTCGAACTGTGCGTGCGTGTGTGTTAAAGTGAAGTGTGCGCGTGTCGCAGACAGGCAAAGGACCTCAAACAGGCTAAATCTCCTAGGCCAGACAAGCCTTTTCGACCCCGTCGACAGCCATCAAAGCGGCTTACCCCATCAGCAGGCAGTGCGGTGTCTGGAGAGAAGCACTCACATACATACATCAGGACAGGGACAGTGTTGGTGTTGGTGAGTATGCTTTTTGTAATTGTTACGCATACGCCATGTCGCACAGCAGGGATTTGATGGTGGTAAAGTGAGAGAGAATAGGGAAAGTCAGTTAAGCACTTAACTGTGGAGAGACCAAGATCTCCCCACCTCCCTTCCTGAGTTATTTCTGGCATTTAAATAGTAGCAACATAACTCTGCTTGCTCCTCCACTTTGAGCTCATAAATTGCAGTGGATTCTGACACTTTGCTCCCTTTCATCTTCTGCTTGTTAGCCAAATCAACCTGCTTGTTATAACAATGACTATAACCCCTCCAAACAGCAGCAGCAGCAGAGCAGCATCCATCCACTTGAGAAAAAGAATGAAATAAAATAAATAAAGCTTAGAGAAGGAACAAAAGCCAGGGACAGCCATGCGACACGCGCAAATTGAAGCGACAAAGTCACACAAAAGTCAGACAGACAAATTTTTCAACAAATAAATAAATGACAGGCCCTTGTGTACGGGGGTTAGTCGACAAACTTCCAAGAATATAACAAAACACAAACAAAGGCAGTCTGAGTGGAACTGTAATCATTCGCATGAAAAGGTTAATAGAATACTTTTAGGTGGATGAATGTCTACCGATTTGCATGCCACTTGGCAGTTAATATTCGACTCTCTGAATGAGTTTGAGTTGGGTCAGAGCCATGTGTGAATATTGCGTTGATTAAGAGTCCTTCAAGGTGCCCATTCGGCACAAATCAATGTGGAATTTCCAAGTTTTATATTTATATTATTATATTCAAATTATATTTAGAGCGAATTTAATACTGATTAGACAGTTTTATGGCCATTTTTGCTGATGAATTAAAATAGAAATCTTCTGAAGGAAAATTCGACAACCTTTAGGCAACCTTCAGCAGAAAATTGACTCAAAATGAAACCACTTCACGAATGTCCTCCATCTATTACCCTTAAGGATTATCCATTAACCCACATTCACTTCCTGTAACCGCCAAGGCTTTCGCCATCTCAAGGCCATCTCTTTAAATTAACCAACTGAATGTCTTCTCCAAATTCATCCTAATTTCGTTTTCAGACTATGTTTTCACTACAAAGTAGACAAAGTATGGCAACTTCTTAGCTAAACTTAAGCTTTGCCTCGTGCCCTGCCGCGTGCTGCCGCGTGCTGTCGCAAACTTTTCAACTTGTCACATACAGCACATAAATCTACACACCGACAGACACATTCTCTGAAACTCTAGCACATATACACAGATATCCCTATGTGTATATATACAGGGCCTATACCCATGCTGCTGCGTTGGGAAAACAAAAAGTTCTTGGCAAGGACACACTCTTGTTTTTTGTTATTGTTGTTTTTGCTGTAATTTTCGGTACTCAAGTTGGAGCGCTTTACGAGAGGCTGTCAAAAGGCCAAGTGAAACATTTGCTTTCCACTGCCTTTACAACTTCCGGCTTGTGGCTTTAACTATGCTTTCAATCTACAAAAATTTAGCATGGCTGCCTTTGCCTCCGCCTGTGTGTGTGTGTGTGTGTGCAACAGTAGGCCGTGCTTTAACCACTTTTCCACAGAATCCCGTGATGGAGACATAACACAGTTACATATGCTACGCTTCACTGGTCCCAAGACTCAATCAGGATTGTCTTGAGACACTTTCAGACCCCACTCGATTTTCAACGTAACATCATGTTTGTGTAATCATTAGACACGAGGCTTCTGCTCATTCAATCCATCCACACATTAGGACTTATACAACAGAAATGCACAAATCAATGCCACATTGTGTTCCCCTCATCATTGTTTGCCATTGTTCTCGGTGCCAGAACAGGGGCTTTGACAAAATGTTAATCAAATCTCTTGTTCCGGGATAGAACAGAAAAAGACAATGCCCCATGGCCCAACACAAGGCCCTTGGGCTTGTGAGTGCTGTGCATAACTGGGAACTTGAGTGTGATGGCATTGTTGTTTTGCGTTGCAATCTGTTGGTGTGTTAAGTAGATTTATGCCACTCCATTATACCATTCGGCAGGCGGAGAAGAGTCCAATTAAAAGGTGTCCCCTTCAACGCACCGGCAGCAGGGCAGAAGCAGAACCTCTTTAAAATGGCATCCACTTAGCCAGGCAATAACCAGGACGAAAGCACAGAAAACAACATTTTTGTTTAATGCCCAGCTTTTGTGGCAAATTAAAAGGGAACAAGCCAAAGAGAGAAATCAGAATTTGTGATGCTCTTTCTTTAGATTTTTCTAAGGTAAATGGGAGGGGAAATTGTCGAAGATTCTCTCTAATAATATTCCACAAAATCAATAAATTATAATCCTTTTTCCCTTCAACTGATCTTCCCTAAAAAAGGATTAAAAGTCATCCTCTATATCAATTCCGTTGTACCCTTCTCCCGTAACTCTTTTTAAGTCTTGCATTTTATGCTTTTACCCACATACTAAGGACCCATCCAACGTAAAAGCAAATCCGAATCCCGAATCTGGGCAATCTGAAAAGAAACTCGTTACTCAAATCAAAAATGCCAGCCGAATGCTAATGAAACGATGGGCGTGGCTGCTTTCCTCTTTGGTGGGATGCCCCTCAATTTCAGGTTGGCTGCATTTTATTTGACCTAAGCGGCTTTCCCCCAAAAATTGTATGTTAATTTTTTCGCTGGATTTTCATTTTGCCTTTAGAGAAAATGTACCGTAATTATTTCTTTGGGGCTTTTAACCTTCCCTCCTTTTGCCCCATCTTCTCTTCAACTGAGAATTGGCTGAAAAATCGTTTATTACATTTTTTATAAGCTGGCAAAGCATTTTTTCTCGTTTTACATTTAACATTGAAATTTTATATGACTCTGCCTGTTTTTATTTGCTTTAATATTTATTTTTATTTGTATTTGAGGGCAAACACAAATGAAGCATGTAAGGGGCGGTAATGTTTGGGAGTTAAACATCATCATATACAATGTTTATTTCGCATTTAATGAATTGGAATTTTATAAATTTTTTTCGCGAAAGCTGGGCGATATGTAAATTGCATTTTTGGTTTTTATTCTTCTGTAAATTATACTTTTTGGGTTTTCCTTTGTGGTTAATTGAAGCATTTTATATTTTAAATGAAAATAATTAATTATATAGAATTATTTAGCACTAAAATAAAAGGGAAAATAATTTATGAAAAATAATTTTGTATGCTTAAAACAAATGCTCAATTATTCAGTAGATTATGGGAATTGCTTTCACTTTTTTTTGTTATTTATGGTCTTTTTTAGTGTATTCTATAATTTGTTGCCAAGCGAATGGGGAATTAATAATGGAGTTGATAATTATGTATGATATTCAGATACATTTCCACTGAATGTAAAACTGACACAAAAAGCTGATAGAGTTACTTATATATTGCAATCTTAGCGCATTGTAAAGTATTGTATCTTTGAAACAAATCAATTTTGCATATTTAATATTGATTTATATTTCTAACAAACTTTCTTTTTTCAACAGTTCTATCATATTGTTTGCCTTGCATTTCACCAGTAAAATGTTGACTCTGCCATACGAATATTGTTTGCCACTTTGTTGACCCAAATATCCGTTTCATATTCGACACCCAACTGCATCTAATTTTTTGCACCGCATTGTATTTCCGAGCACATTTGTTTACTCCTCACACAGATACACACTCACACACTGGAGCAGTGCTTGCAATCTGCTTTAATGCCATATTAAGGAAAACTGAATGGAATTGAAAACGCAAAAAAAGCGAGAACACACAGGCACATGAAGTGAGGGGGGAGAGCAGACGTAGACACAGGCAAAGAACGAGAGGAGGGGACACATTCAAAGACAGACGGAGAGAGAGAGACACATGAATAGTTGAGCGTTGTGCGAATGCGTAAACAGTCAACAGAAGAAGATGGCCAAAAGAGGGTACACGGGTACAGGGGCACAGCGGAGGTAGGTGGAAAATTTTGTGTGGAAAATGGGGAAACTGGGACGGAAGCACAACAAAATTTTTTTTAAATAAAATCACGATGTAAACAGACAAAAGAAGCAGCACGAAGGGGAGACAGCAGAAGAACGCAAAGGCAAGGAGTATGAGCATGCAAAACAAAAAAGCCAGAAAGGAGCGCCACAATTTAAAGCCGAATTTTCAGATACCCTTGGCGGTGCATCCTTTCCTTCTCTTTCTCTACGGTGCAAACTTCCAAGGATAACCCTTATACTCTCTGCTAGAGGCTTAAACAAGCAAAAATATTCTAATAGACTCTCAGTTGGCATTTTAAATGTGTGGAAGGTGCAGATGGGTTGAATCTTTACATATAGATATACGAATGTATATACAAGTGCATTGTATAGCACGTTGCATCTATACATTCCACTACTTCTTGTCTTTTGAGCGAAAGCTGAAACTTTTTTGTTAGCACCCTGACACCCTAACACTCCCCCATGCTAATTTATCTTGTCAAATATGATTTAATGCACCACACATAAAGCCCCGCCCTTCTATGGCTAACAATTTGTAAAGCAGCCTCGGGGGCACTCCCCACCAAAACCAATACAACAATTTATTACGAATTTGTTATGCGAAATGATAAACGATGCCATTTGTTGTACCTCGTTGTGTATTTGCAATTGCGGTTTAATTAGAAAATTTATATATTTGCATACGAACATTTGTTGATACAGAAAATCTAACCAAAAACAACAACAAAATTAGGTGTATCTTTAAGATAAAAATAAAACCCCAAAAACAGCATTATCTAGAGCACATTTTGTTGGCTAATTAGAAGCGATTAATTAGCCAACTAATCAGAGAAAAAACAAAACGCAGATCAGAAAACGACTAAAAGTTCTAATTTAATTGAATATTGCAGTTGAAAATGTGTAAAATGCCCGATTGTGTGGTGGAAAATGGAAAATCCATGCAACTACATCTGTGTGTGTGTGTGTGTATATGAAACATGACATAATTATGCTCTCGTGGTTGTGGTTGAGAGTTGAATTTTCTGCCATAATGATGGCTAA